GCAGGAGTGAAAATGTGTCCTAACGAACGTTCTGTGTCAGAAAAGTCCATAATTAGGTGCAGGCATTTAAAATGTTGTCAGCTGGAGCTGTAGATGCACAATCTGACCAAACCCCAAGTGAGATGGGACCGTCATCTACGGCAAGGATGACAGGAGGGGAAAAATCGTTCCTGTTTACTGAACTTCAGCAGCGTGCTTCCACTCAAGCAGATGACTATGAGCAATTAAGTCCTCATGGTTGGGCAAAAATATGTTATTTAGAGACAAATGCTGGAACGTGTAAGCCGTGAAAAGGAAAAATCCCATACACACATGCAAAAACACACAGGTATTTGAAGAGCGAATGACCATCTGGTTGCGATAAAAAGGGTATTATGGCATTTCCTCATCAGTTGGATCTGTACTCTGACAGGCGCATAGTGAACAAAAAGAAGGAGGTTTAGAATGGGATAAAAAAAGAATGGGCTGGAAAAGAAAAGGAAATAGCAGATGCCATAGGATAAAAACAAGCTGCTTTCTGGCAGAAATGTAAAAAATGACCCTCTGAAAATACTTAAATGTTCCAGGATGCAAAGATAGATGATAAAAGGGAAGCTCCACCAGCAGGGAGGGTTCAACACCTTCCAAATGACCACAACTCTCACATCATAACTTAAAAATGCAAAAAATAACTTTAGATGTTTTTGTTGTTTTTTTTCACCACAGTTTTTTAAATCCCAGTGTGTTTTAATTTTAAGCAACAAACTAAGTAGAAATTAATAAATGTTAGATCAGAAATATTATTTGATAAACCTACAATTCTTCAATCAATTGGCTACATCAAAAAAGTTTCAAAACTGGATGTCATATTAAGTCAAATATACTCGCTTATCTGTTGAGTTCGGGAGTCTGGCCGTGCCTGAGTGAAAGAGTGAAGAAATTGAACCACTTCACGAAAACTGGTCAGGAACTGATTAACAAACAAAGGAAAAGAAAGCGTCCAGCTTCCCAAGGAAAAACTGAAATATTGATAAAGAGATCCTTAAAGATTACAAAAAAGCCTCTAACTGCCTGAAACTGGGAGGCATTTTATAGTTGTAGGAATAGCTGAATAAAGTGTTTGATGTTGAAAGTAATTTAAACAACTAAATCAACAGAATTGTTTTAGGGTATACCTTTCATTGCTACTGACCACAGCATTTTTAAAACAGAGACTTTAATTTAGCCTAGTCTAGATTAGGATAATTAAAGGTATAGAGGAAGATCTTTTATTTCCGGGTGGATCATCTATATAAGTGGTCTTCCTAATTGTCAATCATTCTGGTGATATGTTAATGTACAGGTGCTGGTCATAAAATTAGAATATCATGAAAAAGTAGATTGATTTCAGTAATTCCATTTAAAAAGTGAAACTTGTATATTAT